TTATGGAGCATGTAATTTAAGAATCACCTGTAACCATATATAAAGATAAAAATGAAAGAGAAATGCTTGATATTAACACACCATTACAAGCCAACAACAAATACACTTGTTTTGATATCAAATTTGCCTTTGAAATGTCTCTATGGACACTATTATTGATACTGTCCCCTTCATAAGCTGTTTATTGTCATTTTTTCATTAATGATGTAATGTGAAACGTTAGTTAGCCTAATTTAGCCCATTAGGCGTAATATGAAAGAAACCCAACCTTTAACATGACCAGAGTAGCTTAGCCTATGCTTATATTTAGCATGTTTCATACAATAATCTTTACCCCAAATGCTATAGCAGGTCGTAGTTTTGGGGCATAATTTTTTTTTTTTTTTACATATAATGATCATAGTTTTCTCTTACCGAATGATATGCAGCCCGCGTACACTTCCTCACAAAGCTATATGGTCACACGCATTTTCACAGGCACAACACACGTGTGCGATTCACAAGTCATGCATCCTGTATCATGCTGATACTGAATACTCTAGCTCTCTGTCACACACAGAGCAGACATGATTAATAACATATTCGAAATTAATTAAGAATGCACTTGGTCCACAGATATTTTCAGCTGCTGATATTTTTTTGCTCAATATCTCTTCCCAGTAGCCACTGCGCCCCCTGAAGCTGTACAATAGCATTATACTGCTGGGGCAGCTGGGAGATGTAGTATATTTTAAGTAGGGCTACTACAAAAGAACTGAGCAGGAAAATTAATTTCTACTTAGTGAGTGGAAAGAAGTGTATTTGCATATCGATTCAGATAATATGTTTGTAATATCTTGAGGCTTATGTGCAAGACCAAGACAAGATCAAGGGAAAATGGATTCAAGACCTAGAGGAGGCCGACATCAGGTCAAGTGGTCCCAAAACCAGTCTCAAGACCAAGAATGGCTCTCGAGAACTACAACTCTGTTTACAAAGTAATAAAACTGTTACGTGCAAGTAAATGAGTGTACAGACTTGTCTTGAATTGAAAATCTCACACCTGCCAGCTAAACAAGGTTGGCAGCCCTGCTTCACCTTTCTAACAGTAAGGCTAAGATAAATAACACTTTAAGAGCATCACAAACTACATATCCTCTAAAATAATCGTACAGTTGAATCATTACCACTATTAAACTTTCAACATAAGCTAAACATTATAATAATCATTAATGGGATTTACTGCAGAACTGCATTCGTTTTCGCTCAGTGTATCTAGTAAAGTCGCAGCTGAGTATATACATATACATGTACTTCTGAAACGTACATAGTTCCACTCACACAAGGATGTCAGTTGAGTAGGCGGTCCTTCAGTGCGGCCTTGGACACATTTGCGTTCACACTGCTGTAAGAACGTGGCCTGAGGAATCGGATCTCAATGCATCCTCAATGCGTCTTTGGTGCGTTAACACCTGTAATTAGTGCTGTCCATTAGTGATCGGATCACCCAGGATGCACTTTAATGCCAGGTGTGAACAGGGCCTCAGTCCTGCTCTACCAACAGACTGAAGAAGTAAATGGTAAATGGACTGCATTTATATAGCGCTTTTCTACTCCTACGAGTACTCAAAGCGCTGTACAATACATGCCTCACATTCACCATCCACACTCACATTCACACACCAGTGGCAAAGGCTGCCATGCAAGGTGCCAACCAGCACACTGGGAGCAATTTGGGGATCAGTGTCTCACTGGCCTTCTTGCCTGCTTATCTATCTATCTATCTATCTATCAATCTATCTATCTATCATCTATCTATCTATCTATCCATCCATCCAGTCACAGCGTTGAGATGCCATTGAAGGGGGTTGAATAATCACAGTGGATAAGTTCTGATGCATTCAGTGCAAAAAAAAATGAAATGCATATAGTTCAACATGTAAAATTCTCTGTAAATATTCCTCATCCATTGATTTTCTGTATCCTCTTATCCTGTTCAGGGTCGCCGGAGGTCCAGAGCTTATTCCACAGGCTGTGGGTGCAAAGCCGGGAACAACCCAGGATGGGGCGCCGACCCATTGCAGGGCACAGTCACACACCATGTGTAAATATGCGGAGTGTAACTAAAGTCCAGTTTAGTTACAGTAGTGGTTCAGCTATAAGTGGGGAGTGAGCACTGTATGTTCAAAAATGTCTCTGCTCTAGGGTAGAAGCTGTTATTCACCCTGGTCGTGTGAGCATACAGGGCTGCGCAGTGCCTGCTGTATGGCAGAGGAGTGAAGATGCTGTGGTTGGGGTGGGTCGAGTCTCTGCAGACATCTGCAGCTTTGCAGCAGCAGTGGGTAATATGGAATTCATCCAGTGATGGAAGCTGTGAACTGATGTTCTTCAGGGCCATTATAATAATGGACTGGAGGGCCTTCCTGTCCTGAGCGGAGAAACCAGAGTAGCATGCTGTGATGCAGTGTGTGGTGAAGTTAAGCCTCTGAAGACCTTCATTGGCCGTCCCTGTCATTTTTGTTAGACCATGACAGGTCTTGGCTGATATGGGCTGCTATGCAGTCATCATCAAATAGAGGAAGCAAATCAGGTGCATCTTCCAGTATATTACCAAGTGCATTAAACTCCAAATAATGAATTTTGAGCCCAGGCTTTTCTAGCAGGCCATCACTGTCTTTGTGGAAGGAAAATTGGACATTGGCAGGCCCGGGACGGGAGGCATATTGGGTCTGTTATGTCTTAGGCCTTAGGCTAGAAGAGATTGTTTTGAATACTGTGTGACCTCGCTTCGTGATAGCTGCCTGACAGGTGTGTACAGGTTACACGCCCTCAGAAGCATGGGTGTAGCCCTACAGCCTGAGGGGGGTGACAGGCCAGTACTTGGGCTGCTTGCGGCCTGGCACCTTCCCTCAGCGAGCCGCCCATGTCCTCGCCGACGTGTCAGTCTGCGTAACGCTGCGGTACCCTGGGCCCCCACAGAGCAGCTCTGATTGCGAGTCAGAAAGTGAGATTGAGTGTGATGTCAGCAACATGGAGATCACGGAGGAGCTGCGGCAGTATTTCACCCAGACAGAGCAGCACTGGGAGGAGCTCAGGAGGGGATCCCAGCTTTCCGAAGTTCAAGTCCGTGCCCCAACTGCAGGCTCCATACAATGCGACTTAAAGAAGACTTCACATGGCTTTACAACAAGGACTTCACTTAACGGTAGTGCTTGGGAATACAGACGATCTCGTCGTCGCTCCTCCGTTCGGCCGCTGGCAAGAAACAGCTACCGCCTGTCTGATCTCCAGTGCCTCCAGCCTCCGAAGGTAGCACACCTGCAGCCTCGTCCACAAGCTTATCCACCACCTTGTCTGCAGCCACTCGTCCCATACCCTGTGTGCAGTCGGATCTCTGCTCCCTCTCCTCTCGACCCCACCTAGTTTATAATAAAGCACAACCTATCCCAGCCCAGCACCCATTACCAGTCCACAAATTAATAATCAGGACATTCTTGGTGCCGGGAAGGGAGAGTTCAGCAATTACCAATCAGATTGTGACAAGTACATAGAGCAAAAAATATATATCCCTTGTGATACTGAGTCAGAAGTGAAGTCATGAATGTCAGCCCCAGCTTTGGGGGTGCCTGACTATAGAAAGCCATTTGTGCAGTACAGTATGTGGATGAGAAAAAAAAGGGTTCATGACTTCAGTTCTGACTCAATATCACGAGGGAAGGGAGTGTGGAAGTAAAATTGGACATTGGTAGGCCCGGGAGGAGAGGCATAATAGGTCTGTTATGTCTTAGGTCTTAGGCTAGAAGATATTGTTTTGAATACTGTGTGACCTCGCTTCCTGATAGCTGCCTGCCATTAGTTCCACAGACCCTGAAGAGAGATCGGACCTTGGAGAGGCAGACAGCGGATTAAAGGGGGGGGGGGAGAAACCACCTGCAGGAAGAGATTCGAAGCTGCCTCAACTGGTGCACAAAGAATTATAGCTTAATAAAATAGTTGCAGTAAACAATATACAATATGTTACGCGGTAGTGCAAATGTATAAGTAGTTGTTACATTAATCATTAATCGTACTAATCATATGTTAACCATGTATTTGCAGTAATTCAATGACAATATATCAATGTGTTAATCATTAATCAATGGAACACCCAAACATTAACAGTGATTCAATGTCATATAATCAATATCTATATACATATCTCAAGTAGAGTCTAGAAGTGGAGACAGATTCTGGTAAATTGAGCTAAATGGGTGGATTTTACCTTGCTATAGGGCTGAACGATTTGGGGAAAATATCTAATCGCGATTTTTCTGAAAGACATTGCGATTACGATTTGATTTGCGATATAATTTTTTATATCAAGCTTCAGTTCAATATTAAGTGTGTAATAAATTTAAAACATACTGTATGACGCAGCATTACCACATGAGATACCGTCAAAATATGAACTGGTCTATATTCTAATGCAAGGATGAGAATTTAAAGATGTGGTGTGTAAAGTTAAATAAAGTAATAATGAATACAATTGTAGCAGAAAGAAAAACAATAGCGATCTTGCAGCAAACAGCTCTGTCCCCTAGCTATTAACAGCAGCAAATCTAACACTCTCAACCAAAAAGAGTGTTAAAAATGTCCATAACAGAATGGCTGTTCTGATATGGTAAAGCTGGAAAAATTTCGAACGTAGTATGCATTTTATAAAATGTCTTATAAACAGACGTAGTTTATTGGTGATTTCATGTTGGTCGAAGTTTCAGCTTTTTAACAACTGTATATGGTTATTCTCCATACAAATCAATTCAGGGGAAACAAAAAATGTATGTGTTCAAGGTTGCAAACTCTCACTGCATGGTTTGGGAAACACGCTTTCAGACTCTCACCCAAGAAATCTTATGGCAAATCTAAATTATTCCATTATGAACTTAGAAGTAGCTGCATAAAAAATGTTAGGGCAGTTTGCAAACCCTACAGACAATTTACATGGTAATAAAACTCTTACATACACGTAAATGTGTGTGCAGACTTGTCTCAAACAGAAAGCCTCACTCGAGGCAGCTGACCAAAGTTGGCAACCCTGCATTTTATTTGAAATGAGCTCGTAAAATGCAATTTTTGACTGAAGCGGCTTATCATTCCTTTGCCTTGTTGCTCTGACAAACACAAAACGAATGAGAAAACATTATATGCGTCACTTTTTAATGTCTTTTATAAATAATAAGACCGTGCCCATACCCAACTGTAATAGCGATTAAAGCGATCTGTTCTTTTAGTATTTATGTTAAAAGGAGGTTTTATTTTACTACTGTTGTGGGATTAAGATCAATTTCACAAGATTAATCTATGGAAATCAATACTTAAATCAATGAGCACAAAAACATATGACATAAACACGACTGGATTATGGGTTCTTTTCTGGGGGTCACAGGATTCCTGACTGTCTCCTTGTTTTTTTGATGGGTCATGCTAATACGATTTCCCATTAACAAAAACAAAGGTGTGATATGCTGAAGTATGTTGCTGCTGGTGGTTAAAAGGAGGTTGGCGGTTTTATTCATGACAGGACCTTTCTGAATCAATCTCGTACCATGAAATAGGAAGGCAATTCACTTACAGCTCAGTAGTGGAATCAGTATTTTTTCTGCACTGCAAATGCAACATTTTCTTCGGGTTTCACGTGTTTGCTATTTGTGGGCGTATACTCCGTCGGCTCGGGCCACTTCTGATTGGTGAGCATGACTGTCATATAGGGATTACGTATAATGTATAATGTATGTCCTAAATAGCAGCTTTTGCGATTTGCTAATCGTGTTGTTTCAAATCGTGATTTCGATTTTAAATTGATAAATCGTTCATCCCTACTTTGCTACCAAGGTGAACCAATACAGCGGGAGAATTTTGTTTGTTATACGTTTGAGCTTGGTTTGTTGTTGTTTTGTGACCAATCAGGACTTAATAGTACTTACTGGGAATTGGGAGTTATGATGTATTAACTGGTTGCTCTTTGTGCTCCTTGTTACTTGGTACCGAGTGCCAGAGTGTGAGGGGAGCACTTTGCTGGATTGCTCGAATAAAAGAAATTACTTTAATCATTCTCTGAGAGGTCCAGAGTCTTATTATCAGAGAAGTTGATTTATAATTTTTCTACCACATCTGTCCTATCACTCCTTTAACCAGCACCCTGAGTTTTACTGCCTTCTGACGGCTCACTTTCATAGTTGGTTGTGTTATCAGTGTCACTGAAATTGTCATGAAACACCACACCAGCATCATTGTCACTGTTATTAAGCTTTGTATTACCTGCTGCAGCTGCTTGCTTATCAATGGCCTTCTTTATGCCATTGCTGAACAAATAATTGCACTAAGTGAGTCTATGAGGTTTGTGCTGGAAACAGGTGTAACTCTAAGAAACGGAAATAAGGAAATGTTCCTTTCGTTTCCATATGTGTAAGTAGTTCTTCTACAGCTATTAAAATGAGAACAGCAATTTAGTTTCACCCTAATCTCTGACAAAGAAAGAAAAACAAAAGCAGGTTGTTGGTAAGATCTGAGCAGTCAACATTTAATTATTTAATTAATTAAATAATTACTGACATAAAAGTGTGTAATGGGAATACTGGGAATGAGGGGCCCATCTGACATGTTTTAGCTAAGCTTACTTGGATTACAGTGAATATAATGAAAAGTCATTATAGAGAAACAAATAGATTAACTTGTGTGTTACATATCTGCCAAATTTCATACTATAAATTGTCAATAAGTAGCAGGTTTTTAAAATGCAAACAGCATTTCAAACAACAAAATATAAAACAGCATGTGCTCAGAATGTGAATATCCATATTTCCTCTATGAGGATATAGTTTTCCATTGCATCCGCCTTAGTGAGGAAGCCACCCACTTCCTCTGAATATAAAAGCTTTGGTTTCAGGTGTAACACCAGGCACAAGTCAACTACTGCACCATTTACCTGGAAATCATGTAATACTTTTATTTCATTCAGGTAAGAAAAAAAGACACAGGCTCTTTACAGGTAAGATCTATTCAACTTTACATCACTATAGAACATATCAGAACCATTCTCTGCTCAATCATCGTATTTGATGAAAAATGAATGATAATATCCCACATGACAATGACTTATTTTATGATTCTTATGTGTTCTTTCCTTATTAGGGACACCAAGCATGGCTCACACCATAATAGCGGCTCTGTTGCTTTGCCTTCTTCCCTTCTTCGGATATGGGTAAGTGTTTGGTAGCAAGATGTCACCTCCATTGGATCTAAAGCTACCCAACAGAAACAAGTTGTAAAAAGTTAAATAGGTGGTGGAATTAGTTTGTAGCTTAGTGGGTTGGACTCTGTGCCCGTCATGTGACTAGTTGTTTTGTAATGATCCACAGCAGGCAAAGTGATGATCCTCCTTAAAATGTCTTTGTTTAGGCCTCAGTCTCTCTTGACTGAGATCCTGAATTTCAATATTATAACAAATCCAGTTTTCTGAATAGATTCTCTTTTCGTTTGTTTGTTTTAGTGTGGAAGGGCAGCTGAGGCAGCAGACAGCATCAAAGCTGGATACAGGTCTAAAAATGTTACATCTAAACACTGAACATGTTGGTCTCTTTTAATACCTGACTGTGGTGTCCTACCATTGCTCAGAGTGTGAGGGCCACAATATTCTCACCAATGAAAACCCTCTTTTACCAGGTTAAAAAAGCTGATTGGTCTTGACTAATGAAATATTCAAACTCAAAGATGACCTCTTGAAAACAAACAACACATGCAGCTAATACAGTGAGATTAGAAAAATACTGGTAGTTTGGTTGTTATCGTTTATCACACAATGGCACTGTTGAATTTTCAGTTAATTTTCTGTAGCCACATACATAATGCCAGTCAGGCAAATCACAGTACAAAATTAATGCATAATTATAATCTTCAGTTCTAATTAACTTTGCTTATAATTTCAGATGTAGAATTTAATTTTAAAATAAATGGTGCAGTCTGGGTTTAACAATCAGTATACAATAAGTATCTTGGGTTTTACCCATAATGCAGTGAAAACCAGGAGGTACATAAAGCTAAATTAAGATAATGTTTCCTGTATATATTTACATTTCTTTGCCTCTGCAGCTTTACGTTTTAAATGTGTAACATACAACTTGAAGTACATTAACTACACATTTGGCTTATAGGTTTGTACCTAAAGACTGGCTTAGCAATGGGCAATTTCTAGTTATTGACTAACTTACGGGATTAACAACAGACAAGTTTTGCATTAACACCATTGACTTGGGACTTATCTAAGCAAAATGCTTAATCATAGGCAAAAGAAAATTCTAGTAATAGATATGGTTTTGGTCCCTTACACATTTTCTTTGTAAAAATAGGGTATACTCAACTAATTCAGAGAATGAATTAATCTTACAGTCTTTGGCAGGTGTGTGTCTCACATTACTACGTGTTTTTGCTCCTCACTGACAGGTTTTTGCCAGGGCACCTGTCCAGCTGGCTGGGTCAGTTTCAAAAACCACTGTTTCCAGTACATTGATGTCAGGAAGACTTGGATTGACTCTGAGGTAACGTTACAAAGGCCAATGAATAATAAACACCTGGAGCCAACACCTTATTGTGGTGGAGGGGTTTGTGTGTTCCAATGATCCCAGGAGCTAAGTTACCCAGGGCTTTAAGCTCCTGGTAGGGTCACCCAAGGCAAACAGGTCCAGGATGAGGAACCAAATGAAGTGTGGTTCACAAGACTCCTAATGATGAGGAAAAATATTGGATCCACGATTTCCCTTGCCCCGA